AAAACAGCCTTGCAATGACGTTACTATAGTCTAGGAGTGAGTTACGCACAAAGCAGATGTGTTCAGGCGAATTGTGACAACCGTCCGACTCCTGTGCACTTAAGTGGCTTAAGTACTGAGGAGCTTGACTTTTTGTCTGATATGGATATTCGATCGCTTGAGTCCTTGGAAAAACCTGCAAACCCTGGGACCAGTACTATCCATAAAGCCACATCCTACATAGAAAAATCAGGCAACCCGAGTACAATGTAGGAAAACCCTCAGCTAATGCTAATTGCTCAGCTACTGATACAACTCGATCAGCTAAACCCGAGGGATCATTGTTTGACGAAACTCTAAGGCAACCTTTAAACAGCTCAGTTAGACCGGATATGTTAGGAAAATTCTAGACGACCGAAGCGAGCCCAGCATAACCCACACTCATAGAACAGAGCCGCCGGAGCCTCAAGCCAAAAGACCCCGTATATGGACAACACAACCGGTTCACCTGAGCCGCTGGGTTCAACGACACCAACTTTGAAAATAAGAAAAGCGGATACCTTGGCACCATATAATGCTGCGTGCGGGAATGGATTGTGCAGTGCACTAGTGTTCATTGTTCCAGACGATGTATCAGTGGACGCATTTAGGCGTGCAATAATTGCGGTTAATGGCATTGCAGAGAATGCACTACAGGTTCAAAGGCTGACTAAGCGTGTACCCAATTTGCGGCTGCCGTCAAACCGAACGCAAAGGATGAGACAGCATTGCGTACTGTCATAGCCAAGCGTGAACGAGTTCGCAACGCAACAATGCTGAGCCAGCTTACGTTCGGGCCGCTGAAAAGAAGCAGCAGTTGGGTTGCGACAAATCCTGACATCAAAACAGGCTTTAGTCAACGAGAGCCCAGCGCATCCAGCAAGGAACAAGGGGCGACGTCCAATTGCTTTGACAGCATTGTGTCTAAAACTACGAGGGATCCCAATGCCAAACGGACTTGCAGAGACAATACACCTAGTCACTCACCTACGTTGGTTAGGTCACCTACACATGCCTTAAATATAGCAAGATCCGTAGACGAGCAGCCGCCGCAGCCTGGTTGGGACAATGTGGAGTTCAGCGTACTTGCATTTAATGTTCCGGATGGCACATCAACGGGCGAGCTTAAGAGACAATCGTAAAAGTTATCGGTATTGCAGATAGTTCGGAACAAGGTGAGGGGATGGCCAAAAGGATCAGTAAATTCCCAGCCCCAATCAAACTGAGGACAAACGGTAGTAGAGTCTTGCCAACATAATATTGAATTGTGAAGAACACCGCAATGCTACCAAGCTAAGGCAACTGTATTTCCTCCCACCAAGACGGACTCCACCGAATCATACACTAGGCCCTTGTGAGTCGACACCGCATACCGTCACCGCAACCAATTCACTTACGGCGAGCACTACATTTGGTAATCTATACAACTCCGCTCAACTTCGTAGGCATCCAGGTTGTGGTGCACCTGCTACCGCCCTCAGACCTAGCCGCCGGTCCAGATACAAAGCCAAATATTCCAAAGCTTCCTACTCCGCAACCTGCGAATTTTTTATACCTGGTGGGAATGAACCGCAACGGTTTCATCCCGGCACCAAACTCCTGGTCGCCAAAGTACCAACTGCAATGTCTTCTCGCTTACTACCTACAGCTACTGCAGCTAACGAGGTAAATATCAACGGCTTCAGCTCGTCATCCGTAAAGCTAGTAGACCCCAAGTGTTCTTTCTTACTTCGACTTATAAATCCTAGGTTCCCAAACAAGAAATTGTATATCTTGCGTCCTCTGTCTATCCTCGCCGACCCTGGTGCAATATCTTTCACGGAAACATGGTTCCGCATATGCTTCAGAGGAGGACTACTCACTTCCTGACTATCAGCTGTTTATGCAAGCTCGTGCGCATAAACCAGGGGGAGTGCGCTATTTATGTTAAAAATACGTACCCAGCAAAATGTCGGACATCATGGACGAGGCTGAGGCGAAGATTGCAGTATAGATAACGGCTGATATCCTGGGCTCGACGGTAGTATTTTGGTGTGTTTATAACCCACCTGATACCTCACTTAACGGTGACAACGCATTTGTGGTTACTTTTGCGCAAGCATCCAATTTTTCCTGCGGATACAAGCTGGTTGCAGGAGAGTTCATCCTGCCTAGGTTACGCTTGTGCTCACCTGCTGCAAAAAAGAAGTATGCTGGCTCATTAGCATGTATCAATTTAGGCTGCTGGACGTAACATATATCTGTTCAAACCAGGAAAATACATATTTATATATATTTATATATTTGTATATATATATGTGTATTTATTTATTTATATATTTGCTCTATTCATCCATCAACGCAAGGATCAGTCTGCCGGGCGTTTCCAGGTATTGCTCACAGACTAGTGCATTGCTCGGGTTACATTAAGCAACGTACTGCCCACGCAAGAGAAACAGACCCCGTCGTAGTATACCGCCCGACGCAACTCGCAAACTGGATAACCTTTGCTGTCCTCGCCCGATCAATTAATGGGGATGAACTCTTTATGTATGATTCTGTAGATCGCTCGGCTGTGCTGCTTTATAGGGAAATATTACACTGTCTCGACTCTCTAGCTCCCGTGCCACATTTAATGAGGCACTCATCAAACGTATGACCTAAACCAGAACGCATAACAGAATGCGTCGGCTAAGACCATCCTATAACAAAACCTTCAATTTTGCCCACATCATGAGAGCGAATAAGATTGCAAATCACCTTTGTGCCAGATCTAAGCAGCAGCAAACAAATCAAGCAATAGCCGCACTAAATAGTGCGAACAAAGCTAAGAATCTCAGCTGGCTGCTGCCAGCTCGAACCCCTAACTATGGACGACAGATCTCTACCCTAAACCGTAGTCTCAACGACACTTTTAACGACGCAAACATTTTATGTGAAGTCTGCAGCTCGCATTTTAAAGCATCGTAGTGTTTAGAAATAGGTTCAACCTTACAAGCCCTGAAAGTACCCGGTAGTCAGTCCCTGTCCTCTGTACAGTTTGACATAAATAGTGTCCGCTCTGCGATTTTACCTACCAGGTCATCCTGGAATCCTAGCCCAGACGGAATGCCGCCCAGTCTATTTAAGAATTATGGTGAAGATATCCCCATTCTTCTTTTAAATCTCTTTACGTTATCAATGTTGATAGGTCAATGCCCGACCGCTTGGAAAACTTCCACCCTTAGGCTAAGGCATAAAAGCGGAAGTTGGCAATTATCACCCCAGTAACCACGCTACTATTATCTCGCGCGTGATGGAGAAGTTGATTAAAATGCCCCTATGACTCACCTTTATGCAGGCGAACACATAAATGAATCTCAGCACGGATTTCTAAGTGCTCGGTCTTGTGCAACCCGTCAGCTGGACTTCCTTAATTTAGTCACAGAGGCCATTGACTCTAGGCTTTCAGTTGTCATTCTTTGCCTTGCTATGCAAAAGGCGTTTGACAGGGTACCACACATGCGTCTGATGCAAAAGATAAAGGCTTGCGGGGTAGACAGTCTTCTATTAGATTGGCTGGGTTCATATCTAATAGGAGGTACGCAGTCTGTTAAGGTTGAGTGAACTATATCCCTTCGACCTCTGTTCCCATTGGCGTGGTGCAGGGGAGCGTTCTTTGTCCTACCCTACGTTTGATGTATATCAATGACCTTTGCAGGAGTTTGCAGCACGGTCACTCCTTTATCTTTGCTGACGAGGGAAAACTTTTTGTTCGTCTTTCACACAATCAATGAACTGTTCCAGTATTGTTTCTCTTTGTGTTCTTTTTGTTCGTGTTAATTCGCTGTGTTTATATTTTTATTCAGTATTGTTGTATTCTCTTCTATATTAACTTGTTTTGACTACTTACTTATCTTAAGCCGTCATACCTGCATTAATTTGGTCAGTTAATCCAACCAAACTACCTATCTTTATTATTCTTTACGGAGCTGTTACGTGCTATTTGTAATGACATCGGTGTCTGGCCATAAATGTGGTGAGCACACTTGTGGCGTTGAGGTCAAAGAGGGAATCCAGTGCGACAGATGCTTGTTATGGTACCATAACAACTGCTCTAGATTAGACCAGGACTCTTTTGATCTTTATGCCCGACATTCCCAATTAAAGTGGATTTGCTTCCACTGCGTGTGCTTAGCAGACATTGGTTCTCGATTGATACACGATCGGACTTTTGATTCAGTTACTCTTGTCTCAGATGTGCATGAGTCCGCTAGTAGGAACTGTGTGCATAGACTAGACAGTGCCGAGAAGTTGAATCGTGACCAGAGCTTGCTAATTGAGACATTGCGTTCAAAAGTTGAAGAGTTGCATTCTTCATTGGAATGTTACTTGCGCAGTGCTGAAATTGCTATGGGTAGACAACGGAACGTTCTTATCTACAATAGGGAGGAGCCAGTCATACGAGAAACTAAAACTCGACGGGACCTAGACAGAAGGCGAGTGCACGATATCCTTCGTATAGCCGGAATACCGTTATACGTTGGTATCAAGAGAGTACATCGTGTTGGCAGCTGGAGAGAAACAAGGATGCTCCGCCACCAAGGTTATGCAAGGCCTATCCTGGTTGAGTTTCGGAACCCTATACACCGGGACCCTCTTCTTAACTGGGCTGGATTGGTTGCAAGTCAGACAA